GATCACTCAATAATTGCCCTGTTCTGTTTGTTCCCTCTGAAGCATCTGGTACTGGCCACTGTTGGAAGACAGAATACTGGGCTAGATGGACCATTGGTTTGACCCAGTATGGCCATTCTTACTTAGTAGAAAGAGAGCCTGAGACATGAAGCCTGGTATAAGGGACCTGGTGTAAGGCCTGAACTAAAGTCAGGTCCTGCTGAGATAAAGCAAAGTTAGCAAGAATCGAGCTATGAGCAAAAGTCAGGCCCTGTTACAAAGCAGATGCCTGCTTGCGTGTTCACTATCCGACACATGAACTTGGCAAGAACAGGGCTGGCATTGCAAAAACACAAGCACTCCTAGGCACTAAGTATTTATAGAATCATAGAATATTAGGATTGGAAGAGATCTCACGAGGTCATCTACTCCAATCCCCTACTCAAAGCAGGACCAACAACAACTAAATCATCCCAGCCAGGGCTATGTCAAGCCAGGCCTTAAAAACCTCTAAGGATGGAGATTCCATCACCACCCTAGGTAAGCCATTCCAGTGCTTCACCACTCTCCTACTGGAATAGTGTTTCCCAATATCCAACCTAGACCTCCCTCACTGCAACTTGAGACCATTGCTTCTTGTTCTGTCATCTGCAACCACTGAGAACAGCCTAGCTCCATCCTCTTTGGAACTCCCCTTCAGGTAGTTGAAGGCTGCTATCAAATTCCCCCTCACTCTTCTCTTCTGCAGACTAAACAAGCCCAGTTCCCTCAGCCGCTCCTCATAAGTCATGTGCCCCAGCCCCCTAATCATTTTCATTGCCCTCTGCTGGACTTTCCCCAATTTGTCCACATCCCTTCTGTAGTGGGGGTCCCGAAACCAGGTGTGGCCTCACCAATGCCGAACAGAGGGGAATAATCACTTCCCATGATCTGCTAGCAATGCTCCTGCTAATACAGCCCAATATGCCATTGGCCTTCTTGGCAACAAGGGCACACTGCTGACTCATATCCAGCTTCTCATCCACTGTAATCCCCAGGTCCTTTTCTGCAAAACTGCTGCTTAACCAGTCAGTCCCCAGCCTGTAGCGGTGCATGGGATTCTTCCTTCCTAAACACATTCGGAAGAGTAGTACCAGAGCACCCCGATACAAGGTTATGGTGTAAACACACTCCCCGAAGATGATATAGAAACACACTGGCCCCTCCTAAAGAGAAGGTGTCATAAATATAAAGGGAAAGGTAACCACCTTTCTGTATACAGTGCTATAAAATCCCTCCTGGCCAGAGGCAAAACCATTTCACCTGTAAAGGGTTAAGAAGCTAAGGTAACCTCACTGGCACCTGACCAAAATGACCAATGAGGGGACAAGATACTTTCAAATCTGGAGTGGGAGGGAACAAAGGGTTCTGTCTGTCTGTGTGATGCTTTTGCCGGGAACAGATCAGGAATGCAGCCTCACAACTCCTGTTAAGTTAGTAAGTAATCTAGCTAGAACATGGTTAGATTTCCTTTTGTTTAATGGCTGGTAAAATAAGCTGTGCTAGATGGAATGTATATTCCTGTTTTTGTGTCTTTTTGTAACTTAAGGTTTTGCCTAGAGGGATTCTCTATGTTTTGAATCTGATTACCCTGTAAGGTATTTACCATCCTGATTTTAGAGGTGATTCTTTTACCTTTTCTTTAATTAAAATTCTTCTTTTAAGATCCTGATTGCTTTTTCATTGTTCTTAAGATCCAAGGGTTTGGGTCTGTGTTCACCTGTACAAATTGGTGAGGATTCTTATCAAGCCTTCCCCAGGAAAGGGGGTGTAGGGCTTGAGGGATATTTTGGGGAAAGACATCTCCAAGTGTGCTCTTTCCCTGTTCTTTGTTTAAAACGGTTGGTGGTGGCAGCATACAGTTCAAGGACAAGGCAAAGTTTGTACCTTGGGAAAGTTTTTAATCTAAACTGGTAAGAATAAGCTTAGGGGGTCTTTCATGCAGGTCCCCACATCTATACCCTTGAGGTCAGAGTGGGGAAGGAAACTTGACAGAAGGTCAGGATGACAGGGTGATGGATAGAGATGTTTTGATTGAACCAACATGTAAAGGGTGGTAACTAACCATGTCAGAGGGGCAATATATAACTCATTTGTATCAGTGTATAAAAGAGGAGTCACAGAGGGGTGTCTTTTTCTGGCTGAGAGGGGAATGACCTGGTCCACTGTAACAGGCATACATGTGTTCATGGTCCTTTAGAGTCTATGGGATACCTCAACAATAAACCTGGCCGAATGCCTTCGCTACTGAACCAAGTCTGTGGTCTTCTTGGGCAGTTCGACTGAAGTCTACTGCATCAGCTATCTGCACAGAGCCACACAGCACACAGAGAACACACACACTACCAACAACTGACAACAGTTATGGTGTAAACTATACCAGGACCAAAGAAGAACTGGCTGCAGAAACAAAGAACTGCAGCTAGCTCCTTCGTGGCTGCCTCTCTCAGCTATGGCCAATGGATTTAGCCATTGTGCAGATGGCAATCTGACCCAATGTATTCATCAATTTTAAACTGCTCAGCAATATGTGGAATCTTCTTTTGGAGCAGAGTCCTGGGAGGTGATGCGCATCCTCCTATCTAATTGGGAGTTGAGTGTTCAGGACCTTTTTGATCAATGCAAAACATTTTGACTACATTTAGCATAAGAGATGTTATTTAAAGGTAAAATACTATTAATTACTTGTATGTGTGAGTGTGTGTGAGCAAGTGAATGTGTGTGTAACAGAGAGAGTATTGACAACAGGTGTTTTACACCAGTACAATTGCACTATAGTACTTTGTTATTGCTGCTATACATGTTTTTTAAAATACTTTATTTTTCAATATAATTAAGAATAGAATTCATTCATAAGCATACTCTTTTACTCCATCAACACATCACACTATGGGAAAACTCTGACACCACTTACTCTATCCAGGGACTACATTCCTTTTGAAATCTGCACAACACGTGTAATAAACTATATATAAAAATTAACAGTAGATGTTAATGTTATGTCGATGTTAAATAACATTAACATTTTTCCATTCCAGGCCACAACAAGGGGGAAAATGTATGTCGAGAAATGGGGTAGGATGGTAGTGAGTGATATGAAAGGTTATATGGCTGTAGGCAACTGACTGGATCGCTTAACATTGTTAAAGTAAAGTAAATAAAGTGTAATACTGGTTTGTGTGTTAGCGGGAATTCACTGACACACATACAATGTTAACCCTTTTTAGCAACTTTTTTTTGTTTGAGAATATACTATGGTGCCATAGTTCTGATTGCATTTGGAGACATAAAGCCAGGCCATATTCTTGCCATAACTGTACATTAGTTCCACCTTAAAGACCTTCCCTTCCTCCTTCTCCAAGCTTATTTGCGTATTTGCAAAAGTACTGGCAGTAGCAGCAGTGTACCTCAGGCAAAAGAGCCTATGTGTCTATCAATATCTGGGTGACTGCCTTGTAAAGGGATCATTGCAACAATATTCCCTGGAGCAAGTGAAGACACTGCTTACATTTAGCCAGTTTAGGATTTACTGTGCATTGGTAGAAGTCTTGAGTAATTTCAGCACTAGAATATATATAACACTAAGACATAGAGTTAGTCAGAAGATTTTTGATAAAATAAAATTCACTGAAGAGGAAACACTTTGCAGAGACATCAATTTCTACTAAATTTTCATAAGGAAGATTTTTTTGGGTCCAGGGCTTACTGGTTAAAAAAAAATGAAAAAAAAATCAGAAACACGTTCACTCTACCTGTGATTAGGGAACTGGCTTGGGATGTGGGAAACCCAGGTTCAAATCTCTGATCCTCTCAACCAGACAGAATAGGGATTTGAACCTGGATTCCCCTGTCAGCATCCTAACTCCCAGGCTCTAGAGTGCAGTCAGTGTGTGTGTATCTCCCTCCTTCCAGAATCGAAAAGTACAGGTTTCAATTCCATCACAATTTGGTTTTCAAGAAACATTCAAAAGGTTTTGTTTCCATTCCAATGCAGAACAACAAATTTCAAAACCTCAAAAGTTACAGTGAAACAGAATTGTCCTCTGGACAGAACTATGGCCCACCTCTGAACACGTCTAGAAAAAGGTTTTCCACACCACTCCCATTACAAAGCCCTGCAAGAAAATGTAGGAGTTCAAAGTATACCTATATTGCCAGGCTAATTTATAGCCTTTTACTGAAGGCTAGTGACCAGCATTAATAGCATTTCGATCCAGTACGATAATAGCAATAATTGAATTTTAGAAGGTGCTAATCCAATTGGGAGTGTCAGATAAAAAGCAGGACTTGTCACCAATAGGAGCAGAGCAAATCAATGGGAAATTTATATTAAATAGACCATCTCTTCATCTTCCTTAGAATGCACATTCATGACAAATGCCTTCCTAGCAAGCTAGCTATCTAACGTGTAGGATCTGTCTTTATCCACAACATAACCACCTTACTTTTCTCCTGCCCATAAATGGAGACCACAGAGAAAAGACCTCAGGCAATTCCAGCTTCATAGAGCAAACCTGTCAGTTTCAATTCAAGTTGCGTGGCTGCATAATACATAAACAATCAGGAAGGAACCAAATCCAGTTCTTTTCAAATGTTGGTGATTTCCATGTAATAATCCATAGGGGCATAGGCATTGTACATTTAAACGGATTCATTCTATGGACATACAGTACATGTGATAGGATGGCCTTCTAAAAGTATTTCAGATGGATAGCTCAGACAGTTTATAAAAACACCTTATAACATCTGTTCTTGAAAGGGAACCACACTATTTTTGTCAGTGTATAAACATGACATATGTATATACTGTATACATAAACTAGTGCATGCAACTCTATATATAGTATCTAAGTAACAATGCAACACATATTGTACAAATTTCATTAAATGCTCAACTGGCAATAACCTTTGGGTGTCTCTTGTAAATCTTTTCCTTTTCTAAGCTATACATTTTATATCTGGAGAATGTGGAAGCATCTTACCTTGCTTCCATTTTCTCTTGCTTCTCTTTCCATCTTGAGATCAGAAATTAGGAGGTTCTTGTATTTGTTCTTTCCATTACTGTTGTGATCATCTAGTCTGTATTCTGAAGTCAGCTGAGCAGAGAGGGGACTGTCACTCAGGTTCAGAGGCTGCTCATCCTGCTCCAGATCTGTTTTGCCATTACTGTTGGTTTCTGCCATCTCCCTGCAGTGTATTCCACCTGAAGCATTGGAACTGTGCCCCACGGTCTCATTGCCATTAAAACTCTCTGCAGCTGAATCATCTATTAAAAAATACATATTTTCAGTAACATGCCACCATTTTTATCTCTGTACCAGATCAAACAGAATTTATGGCTTCACAGTGTTTTGCATAGCAAAATTAAAACTGTTTGAATGACGTCTAGCATCCAATGCATTTGTGCCATAAAACAAAATAGTCTTCAAGTAAAATTAAGCTTGGGAAATAAATCTATGGAATGATAGTCAAAGTTAAGGGGAAAGGTCTGGGCTGACACACTAGTGCAATTGTGCACCTAAAAACTAGTGTCATACTGGCTTTTTAGGAGCAAATTCTGCCCTTGTCCAGCTAGGCATGCATCCATTCATTTAGGCTCTTATAACCAAGTCTATCGCTGTAACATCACATTTGTTTAAGTCAATGTAGTTGAAGGTGCTGAGGGGGCAGAATCTGGCTCTCAGTTTTCAAGGGGCTGGAAAATATTTTACTAGGGACTAAGCGTTAAAATAGCAGCACAAGTGGCCATTTAAAAAAATTCTGTCATAAGTAGCGTAACATAAATATTCCTTAGTTCCCTGGCTTTGTGCATGCATTGCTGGCATTGGACATTATGCTGGGAAAGTTGATTCCCAGTAGAAAGACCATGGCTCAGTTGTTCTCAAACTATACGTCAATCATAATTGAAATAATAAAAATTACAATAAAAGACTAAGAGAAAGTCAGATTTTCATCTGAAATTTTTGCATGTTGTTGTTACAAGTAACTTTAAGACTGTTATAACTGAAAATAAAAATATATTTTTCCTCTAGCCTTTCAGAGGCAGATTCTGTCACCTGTGCTTTCAATGCCTTATTCCATGAACAGTCCCATTGGAATCAACAGGGTTCCCTGAACAGCAATGTACTATGCAATGTAGGAAAGGTGTCAGACTCTGGCCTCAGTTTGCTTACTGGATGCATTCAACAGCATTTTTGTGTAGTCACTTTCTCTGGTTTGCTAATGGTGCACACTCTTCCCCAGGCTCCACAAGACTGTCTATCAATAACTAGGGCCCTACCAAATTCACGGCCATGGAAAATGCGTCACAGACCATGAAATCTGGTCTCCTCCCATGAAATCTGGAAGTGGCAGCCAGCATGCCCCTGTGACCCCTTCGCCTGCAGGCACCACTTCCCACACTTCCCATTGGCTGGGAACAGAGAACCGCACCCAGTGGGAGCTGTAGTGGGGGCGGCTCCTGTGGATGGTCAATGTCACAAAATGTCTTGTGGCCCGCAATCAGATTACCCTGATGGACTGCATGCGGCCCGCAGGCCACAGGTTGCCCACCACTGCTTTAGTTTAAGGAAACATCATCTTCTCACATAACAGAATACTTTACAAGCAACAGCTGCAATAGCAAATTTACAAATCCTGTACTAGTGTGTGTTTGTTTTATAAATAATAAACGAACGTAGGAAATACAAAAGTCCCAGGTACAAAACTGTTAGATGGACATATCACATCTTCTAGTCACCAATTCAATACATGTATATTGGAACCACCTCTAAATTAATACCTGGGCCAAATCCAAGGCTTCAGTGGGACCACTGGAATAAGTACAGCAAACAGGAGTTGACCCCTAATAAAGGCCTAAACCTATTAAAGGAATATACTATACATGACAGCCTTTGACCAGACACATGCCTACAGTGCATAATAAAATAAAATGTTGAAAACTCTACTTGCGACTGTAGCAACAGACAGGCTGTTTTATCACACTATGGAACAGGAATCCATATATCTTCTAGTACAGTGCCTAATCCAAGATACACATTATTTTAGATAAAGAACAATGTTTACAACTCTTCTCAAATGGTCTTATGCTCAAAAATAAGATAGAAATACAGAATTGTAACTTTATTTATGGAAAGTCCAAACAAAGTAAGATTGAGAAGCTCCTTGGTTAACACAAGTATATTGGGATAACTGGCAACAGAGGACAGAAATATGTATTAAATGTAAACAGCTCTTTATTACTTAACTACTGAAAAATCCCTGAGAATTAACAATTGTACGTAAGCACTGACATTAAAACAATGATACATGTATTATCAACGTAACTTTAGCGGCACCTACAAATGACTCAATTACTATATAGTAAGCTCTTCTCTCTTGTATAAAGTCAAATGCCTATAGTAAATAATACAGTTATACATGTTTTATCTTTCCCTTTAGGAATAAAAATCTAGGTCTAGGGGGAGAATGATCAGAAGTATGGCTATAAACCCACTTTTGCCATGTAAATATAAATATGAATTACCATAAAAGGACCAAGAAAAAAAAAGCATTTTAGCACTGATAGCTTCTTACAGATGTTACCAAGGTAACTAAATTACACAGTTTAGCATATTTCATTCCTGGGCAGTTGAGCTATTTTTGCAGAGAATACACTAACATTAAAACAACAGCTGTTCTGCAACTGAGACCAAGAACCAGATCCTCTAGAGACCCTTACCCATGTGAAAAGAATTTATTCTCACAAATAGTCCCACTGACTTCAAGGGAAGGTTAGTGAGTCTGACCCAAGAAGTGAAGCATACTTTCCCCACCCCTTGTACCTGGCCAGCTCTGCTGCCATGGTCCTGGCAACTTCCCCTCCCCCTCTTGTCTGCTTTGATGAGTCTTGTGCCCTAGAGGTGCAGTCCCTGCACTCGGGGTATGTGGGGATAGGGCTTATACCTGGCCTTTGTATAAAGGTGAAAGAGGGGTGACTTCTTGCACTCTCCCAGCACCTTGTGACTCACTGGAGCATCCCAGGCACAATCTGGCCCTCAGATTATAAACTCTTCTAATCTAAGGATTTATCTTCTTATTTTATCTATGAAGCATCTAGCCCACTGTTGCTTTCATATAAATACCAGACAAGGCATTTTTGCCATGTTATTAGCATATTTTTCTAATGTCTATCATAACCCCTCAGCAGCAATAAACTGTGGAAGCTGAAAATCTGTTTCCTTACCCAATATTTTTTCCTCCATCATTCAGCGGCAGGCACTGGTTTATACTTGGAGAGGCGCTGGCAGGTTCAGGAATATAGGGATATATGCTGGGTCCTTATAGTCGCATGTGTGGGTACGATATATCTTGCATGAATGGACAATTAGGTTTCAAACACTCCGTCAGTGTAACCTGTGCATATTCCTACTGGACAGTTTACATGGATTTATTTTTCGAAAACACTGCCTCCCTCCCCCAAAGCATTTCTTGGGGGAGGAAGCGGGGAAAAAAATTGATTATCCAGGGCCTTTAGCAACAGAGAGAATGTGGCTTGTTGTAGCAACAGAGAGAGCGCGAGTGTGAGCACAGCCGCTCATAGAATATGTTGAGAGCAGCGTGTGGAATCTGATGATGTCAGGATGGCAGTTGGATTTTTGTTTTGTGCTGTGATTGGTTACAACTTCTTTGAGTATCTCTCTATGTGGAGCCCACCCTTGGTGCACATGTGCCCCCGTGCGTGAGAGACTGGAATCTTTAACCAGCAGCATCCACTGGGGCCATACACATGCACTGCGTACTATTGCTCCCCACCCTCATGGCATAAGAGGTGGAATGGTCCCAAAAGCCATTGCATTCCCTCCTACTGTGAGATGGAACAACCTCCGTATCCCTCTATTTCTTCTGGCTTTGTTACTTAGTTGTTAACTTTTTTAGTTGTAGTTGTTATCATTGCCTTATTTCTACTAGTTAGCCCACTGACAAAAACAACACACGCACACCTACCCCGCCCCCACCAGGAGTGTAATTAGTTTAATTTCTAGGTGGTCCGCTACCAAACCACCACCGGAATAGCTGACTTGAAGTCCTCCGGTAACCTGCCTGCCAAGTGATGTGGCTATACTGCTGAATGATGGCCACATCAAAAGACTGCTTGCTTATTTGCTTTGTTTAGGGGAAGGGCATATCCCCAGGAAGTGCAGAGTTTTCAAGTCCTTTCCCCAGTGTCTTTGCCCAGAGGTATGTTTCAAGTGTTTTTTGTTGGGGAAGTCTATGAAGGGAGCATGTGACTCAAACTCTTCCTGTTTCTGAGCGTACTATTCACTCTTTGAAAACACAGGCAGCAAGTGTCCCAGCTAGCCGAGAGGTTACCCAGGTTCCCTGGGATCAAAGAGACCACAGAAAAAGGCCTTTAAAACTGTGGTGCAGATTCCCTCGGATCAGTCAGCAACCCCTACTGCCCACATGAGGAAAGAGCACCATTCGAAGTCTGGAGCTCAGCACTGGTTTCTCTTCCAGGTATTGTCAAAAAACAAGCTATTAACTCTTAAAGCTTTGGATGCCAACATAATTACTGCAGCTAAGTCTGCACCACATGCCACTTCTGCCTCAATAAGGGTTTTGCCCCAAACATCGGCAGCTAGTTTACATCCTGTGATTCCATCTGTCCCGCTACCTTTTACCTCATCCAAGGGTCTCCTGAGCCTGAGTTTTGTTTACTGGAGATTTTGCCCCTTTCTGCAGTTTCTAAATTCAGAACAGTACTAGCACCTAGGATACCAACTATGATGATGTCATCACATCACTTCTACCACTCCACGGGGAAAAGCACCTCCTAAAAAGGAGTTTTACTATTCATCACCGTGTGTGTCTAACAGAAGTCTTTCTCCAGGAACTGCTAATTTATCACCTGAGCCAACTAAGAAGGAGGTTCAAGAAAAAGGAGTGATATCCCCTTCTCATAGAATCATAGAATATCAGGGTTGGAAGGGACCTCAGGAGGTCATCTAGTCCAACCCCCTGCTCAAAGCAGGACCAAACCCCAATTAAATCATCCCAGCCAGGGCTTTGTCAAGCCTGACCTTAAAAACTTCTAAGGAAGGAGATTCTACCACCTCCCTAGGTAACGCATTCCAGTGTTTCACCACCCTCCTAGTGAAAAAGTTTTTCCTAATATCCAACCTAAACCTCCCCCACTGCAACTTGAGACCATTGCTCCTTGTCCTGTCATCTTCTACCACTGAGAATAGTCTAGAACCATCCTCTTTGGAACCACCTCTCAGGTAG